CTAGCACTAGCTAGACCCTTACAGCAACTAAAGAAGCATAGAATTAACAAATACTTTACCTTTAAAATAAGCTTAAATAGCTTAAACAGCACCTCTAGCTTTAAGCATAATAAGGACCTTTAAATGTCTACTAGATCTAAGCCCTACAGCTAGAAGTAGCTAACCTTAGAAATATTACTTAAGAAAAAACTAGTATTAAATTAAAAAAGACCCTACACTTAGCCCCCCCTAAAGCATTTAACAGCTCTACTAAAAACTTAAAACCTTTCTTTACTAGATGCTACTTTTACATGTAATACAACAAAGGCGCCTTTAAAATAAATAAAGAAATAATTTCTTAGATAAGCTTATACTTAAAAGGATTACTTACTATTTAGTTCTAACTCTACACTAATAATTAGATAAACTATAAAATAAGTAGTAAACTTTTACTACTAGAGACATAGAAGGTCTTTAATAACATTATGTTAAATAGACTCTCTGCTAGCTAGCACTTAGTGTCAGCAAATGCGTACAAGACAGAGAGGTTTGCACAGTGTAAACATTGCACAGGGGTGTTAGGTAACTAGTGTTAATTACTTCTTATTTTTCCTCTATACAGAGGAAAAGGGGGATATCTAGATGTTTACGCACAGAGGTTTGCGCACAAGCATTATGTAACATAGATACGTGATCCTGCTTGTGCGTGATCGCTTGTATCTAGGCTGCAACGCTGCTGCTGTGTATAGACACTAGTAACTTTTCTTTTTATCTAAAGAGTTACCTTCTGTACGCGTTACCTTTCTTCTATCTGTGTAGGTCTATCTAATTACATTCTGCCTTTACTTTACTTTATTTATTAGAACTTGCCTTAGTAATGCTGTGTGTTAGAATAAGCTAGTTATGCTATATAAATAGCTTTTTTTTTCTTTATTCTTTACTTTCTAAGCCTTACTGTATAATCTCCTAGCTCTTTTTTTTTTTTATATAGTGCTAATAGTAACAGATCTTTATAATAAGAAAGATAAGTGTGTACAATAAAAAAAATAAAATAAAAAGAAATAAGCTTTATACTAAGATGTTATTAGTTTAGTTAGTCTAAAGCATCTTTGCGCACAGGATCTAGCTAGTCCACAGATGCTTCTATTTAGACAGAGAGGTAGTTAGTTAAAACTAATAATTAAAAAGCCTAGTTTAGTGTTTTCTTTATATATATATTTACTAAGTTATTTTTACTATTAATTTACTTTATTTTAGTAATTTTCTTTTTTTTATATAATTTATAGAGTAATATAATGTTAATTATAAGTTACTTTTTACTAGTAGTGCCTAGCTTAATAAAGTAATTATATAAAAGCCTTAAATCTATATAGATTACTACTAGAATTAGTAGTAGTTTAAGTGTTTATATAATTTACTATAAAGTTATACTAAAGGTAATTATATTATTAAACTTTCTAACTATTTTATATAGTTTACTAGTAAGAACACTCTTAGTTACTCTTTTACACTTAGTAGAATTTTAGTGTATAATGTTGCCTAGTATTTTAAAGTAGTTACTTTACTTTATATAGTTTTTATTACTTAATATAATTAAGAATTTTAGCTATAAGCTAAGGTTTTTATTATTAGTAAATAATCTATTTATAAAAATAAACAGCTTTATATAATTAAGCTGTAATAGTAAAAAAGTAAAACTGTGCTTACTATTATCTATCTACTATTAAATTTATGTGTTAAGTGTGTTAATATTATTATATAAAAGGTCTATAGTTTATGCAGTAATAAATAAGTTAAATACTACCTCTAGTTAACACATAGATGTAATATATGCCCCTTTTACATGTTACTTAATATATTATTATGCAGCATTTTTATTTTTTAAGTTAATTATATAAAGGTAGCTTACTTATCTCTTTTAAGTAAAAACTACTATGTTATGTATAAGTTTAATTTTTTTACTATTAAACTTAATAAGCTGCTTTTCTGCTAAAGTAGTCTTACTTTTTATGTAGAACTTTGCTTTTTATAGTTTTTTTTTTTTTTATGCAAAATTTTTTATTATAATGCTTAAAGTATTATTTATTTATAAGCTAGTAATACTAAAAGTGTGCTTTTCTTTATTAGTAATTAAAAAGTAGAGGTTGTATAAAAAGATATGCATGCGCAGCTTTTTTTTATAGTAGTTATAATATGTTTTAAACTAATATAGTCCTAATTTAGTAGCTTTATATAAGAGTTATTGTCTGTACGCAGCAGCAGCGTCACAGTCTGGATACGAGCGATCGCGCACGAGCAGGACTACGTATCTCTGTCACATGATGCTTATGCGCGAACCTCTGTGCGCGAACATCTAGATATCCCCCTTTTCCTCTGTACAGAGGAAAGACAAGAGCAATAGAACTAGAAATATATTACCCTTACCTTACCTACCTTGTACGCTGTGCACACTGTACACTACTTTTACTCTTACTACTTAAGTGCTTATACTATAAGCAGCTAGCTGTTAGAGCCTATTTAACACTAATTAGTAGTTAATTTAATTAACTATAAATTAGTAAAAGTAACAATAAAGTACTTACACTTTATAAAGTACTTTATTTTATTACTTATTCTTTAGAAAGAGTAACAGCAGAGTACTTACACTTTATAAGGTACTTTATTTAGTTACTTATTTTTTAAAATAGCAGATTAATCTTTTGCATTATACAGCAAGCTCTGCTACTGTACAAAGTAAGAAGGAGATAGTGTAAAACACACACTAAAGCTATTAAAGCTGTATAACTTAGTAGCTAGATAATAGTAGATTAATTCTTTACATTATACAGCAAGCTCTGCTACTGTACAAAGTAAGAAGGAGATAGTGTAAGGCGCACACTAAAGCTATTAAAGCTGCATAACTTAGCAGCTAGATAACAGCAGTACCTGCGTAATCTACTAGAAAAGTAATTAACTATACTATTATAATAAAATCCTATTAGCAACTAATAACTCTGCGTAATAATAAAAAAAATAAGAAATAATTCTTATTATATAAATAACTTACAAAAGACATAGGGATATTAGAGGCAACACTATAAAATAAGACTAGCCTAAAGTACTAGAATAACAAGATTAATATGTTAGAGGCTTTAATAAGCCTATAGACTTAATTATACACAAGTTATATAATTACTAATCTATATATAATAACTTAAAAAAGCGCTACCTTTTTAAGTGCGTATATAAAGAATTTTAAAGAATAGACACTATAAGACTTCTTAGCACTTAGCTACACATTTAAAAGGGAGCTTATATAAGTGCTAAAGGACAAAGGAATTACACTACAGCTAGGCACTAAAGGTACCTAAGCCTAGAAGCTGTATAATATAGCATAAAAGAAGGCAATTACACTAGAAAGGCTTTATACACAACCCCTATTGCTATATAAAGCTCTGCATAGAAGCAGATAAAACACAATGCTGCTATTAACACTAAACGTACTAGCATTACCTGCTCCTACACCTTAGCTAGCACTACACTAATTACTGTACAAACAATACATGCCACCCTACCTAATGTAAGGACGGAGCTCTGTACCACTACGCCAATACAACCAAAAAGGTGCGAATAATCAACCAACGTTAATTATTGCGTACAGAATAGTATATATACCCGTCGTACGTAAGCACCATCTCGGCCTTACACGTAAGCGCCATCCCGGCCTTACACCTAACGCCTGCTCCACACCCTCAATCGTACACACCACCGCCTGCAGTAGTGTATGCACCACTGATACCACCTGCACTTTAAGCGCAAGTATAGTTAAGAAATATTTAGCTAATTATAAACCCTGTCTTACTAAAGTTGTATGTGTTATTATCCTAGATGCTATACTTAGCTTTAATATTCTCTACAAGGCTAAACCTGCCTTAAATTACTCTAGGACTCTTGCAGAGAGCTCTTTTATAGTTATACTTACGCTTAAATGTTACTTTAAGCTCTAAATAACACTTTACAAACATACTAGGCTAGTTTATGTAAATATAGCCTAGATTACGCTTAGCGCGCAAAGAATTAGCTATATTAGCTATAAATGCTATCTAAGGGGAAATTCCTTGCGTATATAGCTTAAGTATAGTCTTAATAATTACCTGCTTCTTTTTATTACCTAGCCTTTATAATTTAGCTGTAGAATTAGCTTATAAAGGTTATCTAGTGCTGTAGTTATTTATTGTTGTTTATAAGACCTTGTACATAGCTACAGCATATTTCTTTAAGAGTTTTATGTCTTATTTAAAAGCTTAGAGTGTAAGCTGTATCTAACATTCTTTTAGCGCGTCTAAGTAGTGTTGTGGGGAATGCATTAGTGTAGGAAGGGTGGTTTAGTAGGGTCTTGGCAAAAGTAAGCGACTTAGGTGTGTGAGCAACTCGCCTGTGAAGTACGTTAGAGGAGGGCAATTAGGTGTAATTTAATGTAACAGCTCCAAGTAGTGTATAAAGGGAAGTTTAAGTAAAATTGCAAATGTATGTAATTGTCACAGTTATGTTACAGCTATCCAACCCCTGAGCACCCTAGGCTTGGCACGGGGTATATAGACTCCTCGGCCTCCGTACCTCTGTGTAAGGACGGGGCTCCGCACCACTCCGCCAATACAACCAAAAGGTACGAATAATCAACCAACGGTTGATTTTCGGGTGCAGAATAGTATATATACCCGTCGCACGTAAGCGCCATCTCGGCCTTACATACGGTAATAGAAGGCAATTTACTTTTGTTCTAACTGCTAAGAGATTGTTACTATCAGTAACAGTAGGAACAGTACTACGTCCTATTAAACACCATGACTGGGCACGTAATAGCCAGGGTAGTCGCTGAAGTGGGCTCTGTGTCAGCGTCGGCGTCGACTGCGTCTAATGCCTCCTCTGCTAAGCTACGCCAGTAGCGTGCTGCGGCTCTCACGATATTGCGGCGAAAACTTCCCTCGACCCTTTGTTTCGCACTCTGAATAACGATCTAGATTCTCGACTCCGTAGAGTCTTTAGTCTAACAATGATATGAATTCTATCCCTGGAGCACTCCAGTTCCCAGTCCTTGCGGAACCACTCTCCCCAAACGACTCTGGAGCAAATCCAGGCTCCCTGATGACAACTCGACGCGCCGGTCTCATTGCCGCGTAAAATTTTGGGTACTGCCACATCGGCACAACCCAAAAGAAGAATGCAAAGACCCAGACAAATCCAATCGTTTTCCTCAGAACATTTGACCGTAAAGCCTGTCCAAGTCTACCGTCCCTCAGGCGTCTCCCCACTGCACCTACAACCAGCATCTCGATCGCACCGGCTGCAAAGTTGGCCAGCCAGAACTGCATCTCACCCACAGGCATTACTGTCTCACCTCCCTGCCAGTCCGCAACAGCATGGAACACGCCGGAAACAAAGAATGTCCAAAACGCAATAACCACCTTCTCATAGTTAGAATGCGGTGCCAGTCTCATAATCCGACGCGTGATGAGTCGCCCTGAGCAAGCACATGATGGCCCAGCAAGTCGATGCCAGAATTTAGCCCAAAAGCCACGGATGCTAGATCCGCGTAGCGGACTGCCATATAGCGGTGGCCATTCTTCGGGGGTGTCAATGCGCAGCACAGCTACGAAGAAGATCGAAAGGAGCACATTGGCGCCGTCGAGGAGGAGAAATGCGAGCCAGATCCAGTACACGGACATGAGAGAACGGAGTTGAATTTCTCGGATTGTGATAGCTGGACCAGAGTCCGGCCACAACAGCCTGCTGACGAAAGGATGATATGACGGCGCAAAGTCTGCAGCGGTGAGGCGGAAGTAAGTGGATACTGTCGGGCCGATGACTCGAAGCTGTAGCAACCAGCAGATAGCGACTTTGACTACACGCCGTAGTACGAATATGAACCGCTTCGTATATGCCGTGGGTTCCGGATTCTTTTTCTGGAGATATGTTGACCATTTGAGTTGGCGTTGCGGGTCGTTCCATATTTTATATGCTAATATCCAGGCTTCCTTGCCCTTGCTGGAGACAAGAGGCAACTGGAATGGTTCAATGTACAGCACTGATGCCGCATGGTGCATCCACACGCACATAAAAAGGTTCCAGTAGGATGGTGCACCAGGAAAAACCCAGGAAAGGTAAGTGCTGTTTTTTACTGAAAAAACAGCGCTGCCAAATAGTAAGGGGGCGAGGTAGAGTCGACCTCGACGTGAAAGTCGAATGGCAGCGAAGAAAGTTGCAAATGAGATGGTGCAGAAGATTGTAGGTGGAAAGGGCAGATTGAAGGGAGACATGGTGGTGGGAGATGTAGTTGCGGGAGACATAAATGCCACGGCTGGTTTAGAAAAGTGTGGACCGATGGTGTTTCTTGAGCCGGCAAAGGATGGGTGTGTTTTATACAAACGCCTGGAGCCCCTCTCCCCCTCGTTTCGCGTGTCCCATTTGCTTTCCGTATTGTGAAACGAGTCTGACATAACCAGCTGTTCATCTCCGGTGTATTCATTTACCTTTCGGCGTCTAACGACACGTAATTGAAACAATAACCCATGCCTGAAGGTAAAACACTCCGTAGGAAGCTTACGTTAAGGTATCCAGCATTTCAAACGAGCTTTGACGCAGAGAATCATACAACTCTGAAGCAATGATTCACCTTTGTCTAAACACTAGCGTATTAAAGGCTTACACGAGGAATTACAAAACTTCTCTTAGGATGGATGTATCATTAAGCAGGTTTTAAAACTTTGTCACTTCAGGAATGCTTATTAAGGGTTCACTTTTTTTTGGACGGGGTCCCAAGCGAATGTAACTTGATTCAAACGAGTGTGAAGTCTAATGCAAAGCCAAAAGAAACAACCATCCATTGACCCAGTGATAATACAAACCCCGACTATTCACCGGTTTTCCATTTAACCTTACATTCCATGCCATTGCGCTACCTACTTTTGAAGGCTTTGGATTGTCGCAAGCAGCTTCTGGCTGTCCGCATCGGTAAGATCGTCGTAGGCCATGCAGGCGGAGCCGCAAGGGACGGGATGTCCCTGATCGGTGAATAATGTAGCCAAGTTCATGCACGGAGCGGGTACAGCATCAAGCTGGAAAGCTGGAAGGGTGTCAGCTAAACTTTTTATCGAGTGTATGAATGCTTCTGTCTGGACCATTGGACTTACAGTTCGCAGCCTTCTGAGTGACTGTGATTGTGACTCCGGCCATCGAGTTTGTGCACTCGTCGACGGCGTGCTGAGAGACGCCTGGAGGCAAGGTGATTTGACGAGGTTCGAATCGCATGGGGCTTCTGGCCTTATTATTGCCGCCACAGTCTTTGTCCTTGCAGGCTACTTCGACAATGATGCCGCCGATGATATCGGCAGATAATTCAGCGACGAAAGCCACGACGACGGGAGGAGCGGGGCAGGAAGGGATCATAGAGAGAGCTGCCAGAGCGGAGGCAATGATGTACGACTTCATGGTGAGTGAAAGGATGCGTGTATAGCGACGTCTGTGGATAAAGGAGTGAATTGAATGTTTGAAGGATTGACTTGAATGAGTGAAGTGGTATTGTAGTGCTGAAGGTGTTTTGATCTTGTGGGTTGATGGATGCTAAAGGAGGAGAGAAGCACCTCTTTTATACTTCAATTCTTGTATCGACGACAAGGAGACACCTCGTTGATCTCAAAACTTCTGTTCAGGGAAACGAAACAATGACGTGAGGTATTGAGGCTTCAGATCATTCACTGTGATGCCGGATGCAGTCTCAGGACGCGTTATCCCCACTCAAATTCCTTCGACAGATCCTCTGATTAACATTCATGATGAAAGGGGCTCAAACATCTGGAGAGCTTCGTCTCCGCTGAGAGTTGCATTCTTCCTCCTTCGCTTCCTTTTTCATCTGCTCAGCCTCTGGAGTCAGTGCTGGAAATGGATGGGTTCTCCATGGGCTCCATAACGTGGATCATGATCCATGGACTGACCGATATCTATAGACCATTCTTAGAAGATATTCTTAAATTTTCAGTTGTTGATTCATTTTTAGGCTGTCAAACGCAGTCCCAATACGCGACCACAGTTTCCCCTAATTGCCAAGACCACCCAATCGGGAATAGCATATCCTGAATTAGGCATAGTATGGCTCCTTGGCATACGCCGATGGAGCCCATGGATTTAAGATTCATCCATTGCTAGCACCGTCTGGAATAACCCCAAAATATCACGATCGCATCAATTGCTTGTTTGGACATGTCAGGGCCTGTCACTGGAAAGTCTCAGATCCGATCCCGTAGGATGCATGTAAAAGCAGGAAATGTGGGAGTCAGCCTCGTATTCGAACTCGGCCAATCAACGTCTAATTCCTACTTTCTAGAAGCGCTCGCCCTCGAAAAAGCCTAATTCGCGGTCCACATTTTTAGCCTTGACATGAGATCGTTGAGAAACGTATCAGTTATTGGAAACCTCAGATGCTTTCTCTAGATGTCCGTAATTACGCGGCAGATTCGCAACACTTCTGAGTGTTTCAAGACTGCTCCAGACATTCCACAAATCTGCTCAGCACTAGTATGGTCTTGATTCCTCGAAGGGTCATCCACAGCCTGCTTTGTCGGCGTTTAACCCTGGTATCGGGATATGTATAAAAACCTCGTGTTCCGAAGCTTGGCGGAATCCTTCAACTCACCTCGCATAGCCTACGATAATTCAACCAAAGTTTCAACATTTTCTTTGATTTTGGACTGAGATGCACAAAGCCGAATATAATTTCAAAGCAGCTGAAAACAACTTTTGAGGTCCAGCCTCTAGTCTGCAACCCACCAATACTAGTCATGAACTCCACGCCTAGTGTGCGCCGATGGCTCTCTGAGTTGCTTCAGATCGCATATGCGATTGCCACGATACTCATGCTCTGGGCTACCTTGAGGGTCGTCACCGGCTCACCACACCCGATCCTGACTGTATCTTCAGAGTCTATGGAACCTACATTCTATCGTGGGGATATTATACTACTCTGGAACCGTCAACACTACATTGACGTTGGCGATATCCCAGTGGTTTGGTTCCCTGGAAGGTCACTCCCGATGGTGCATCGAGCTATCAAAGTAATCCATCAAGATGAGGGTGAAAGCGATAACAGCACAGCCAGGTATGCACTTTACCCTCTCTGTAGGATCTGTACTGATATATCTCGGAAAGACAACTCATTTTGACTAAGGGGGATAACAATGACTTGGATGATACGTCGCTGTACCCGAATGGACGCGCTTTCGTGCATCGTGAAGAAATTGTGGGATTGGTTCGCGCATACATACCGTATCTAGGGCGGTTGAGTCTCGTAGTGAAAGATCAGCCTTGGATTTTATACGCTTCTCTTGCTGGAATGCTCGCTGTGGGCAAACTTTTATAGTATTACACTCCTTTAAGACTCATGTTTAGCCAAGTACTACATCTTCCACATTCCAATTGACGAGGCTCTCAGCTACTCGCTACACTGTATCTTCCTCTTTTCCGAATCTCAGTGCATGCTGCTGATCCACCGGTCGTTTGAGCTTCGGTTTTGTGCCTGTTTTGAGCCGAGAGGGGAGCAGCAATAAAACTGTAGTCCCTATCGGCCTGAAGGAGATGGGTCTAGGGATTTGAGTTCTACCCCTGCGGCGGATGTATTGTTGTCGTCGTGATCTCTGAGGTGGGAGTTCGGCTATTATCCTTTTCGGCGATTGTCATACAAGGTGGGAAGTCCGGATTAGAAGTGCTGTCAGGAGAGTCATTTGAAACCGATCCTTCAGGCTCGCCTAATGTGATACTTCACCCCATCGCAGATAAGGCTGCTGATGACGCGGGGTGCGATGATTTTAATATCCGAATGTCGCAGGGCCCTCTGCACAGCCACATCCTTCAACCGACTCGAATCCCAATGCTAATTTTGACGACCGCTTACGCAAGGGGTGAACCTTACACCTAAGTTGGGCTGATTTCCTCTACCTCTAATGTGCTATCTCTGGCTTTCATCCACCTTTTTAGCAATTAGAAAAGACGATCTAGTCACTGTATGTTTTGCCCTCATCTACTGAACCTATGTCCTATATGAATATATCATAGCTTTAGACGTATGTTGATAAAAGCTACCATTTAGAAAGAACATTTCCAAAACCACCACCAGTGCTACAAAAAACCGCAACACTATGTCAACCAGCAGGCTCCCGACACCTCTTCCGGATGCGCATTCCAAACCATTATTTAAAGACGCCCGGAACATCGAAGATGGGAGCAACCGATGGCCTGAACAAAAGCGTGACCTGATGGGTTGGAGCTTGGAGAATGTAAAGGAGGAATGGAGGCATGGATCAAGGATGCGAGTGGTAAAATACTACGCAGTAGGTTTTGCCGTAGCTATCGTTGTTGGGGTCATAGTTGGCGTAGTCGTTTGGGCCATTCGGCGAAAAACCTAAGTGGCGTGAGAAATCAATCTCACAACTCAAAAGATATGTGGAGCTATTAGGAGAACAAGGGGCATAAGGAACTGAGTCGATTGTTAAGAGAGTGTACCTAAGGGCCTATATATGCGAGAAGTGAGCTGGGAAGCAGGGTAGACAGCAAATGGCTATAGCAGGCAGCAGTAGCTCCTGGATACGGGCATATAGTAGAGCTCGGAGAGTGCTGCGACTGCAAACAGGATTTGAGGCTGATTTCCATGGGTATGAGTACCGAGGTACGGTTCTAGTGATTCTACTCCCAATGGAGGTTTCAAGGTTGACTGGATTAGCGTCCTCTAGCGGAAGGAATGTGACTGGTTAGATTGCTAATAGGAATTAGAGTTTGAGTACAAGGCTAAGACTTTAGGGATTTTGTAGACTTACAGGGGGTATGAATTATAAAAGAAGTGATGTATTGTGGACTAAGGGTCCGAGGAGCTATGTGATTTATATAGTATCATGGGGCACCAAACTCAAAGTTGCCGGTGCTAACAATCGTAGAGCCCTCCGGTTTACAGATTTCTATTTGTGTTCAATACTTCCTACAGAGCAGCCCTCGTTGGAAAAGCTCGTTTCTCATGGTTGGCTCAATTCACAACTCAGGAGGTAGTTCCATTAATATTTTATCTCAAAATATAGCACATTGACTCTTACTATTAGGTCTTATTATGAAGGAACTAGGCTATTCAACTTCTTGCTAGAATTCGGGAGGGCGTCAACAAGGTACAACTTTCCAGGTCGTATCAACCCTGCCATGTTCAACCTAGACGATAAAAACTAGATATGCTGTGCAAGAATACTAGCTAGCGCTAAGTTTGTAAATATATATGGTCTTGGTACATTGGAAAATCAAAACACATGATTTCGGTTGTGATCAATGCGCCAAAACTGTAAAGCTTCAGGGCAAGTGCAGATATGAAGTTAGCAACACCAGATACTCCCCACGTAACCTCCAATTCGATGAAGTTTCTACAGTAAGTCCCAAACCGGAATTACGTGTTCTAAGGGTTATCTACCATGGCGCCACCTTCCCATATCTTTCAACAAATTGGTTCACTTCCCCGTCCCTCTTCCCTTCAACAATCTCAAGTATCCCCTGTGCACTCGTCTCCGAACTTTCAGCCCCGTTGTCAATTCGCCTCTGTCTATCTTCCCTCCCCGTCAGATCCGTAACCACGAAGCCAGGACAATATGCCCAAACCTTGCAGCCCCAGTCCTTGTGCTGGAAATACTGGCAGGCGGACATCATGTTCATGGCTGATTTACTCATGCGATACACATCGAACTGTTGTTTATAATGAGCCCAAGTTGGATCCGTGCGAAGACCAATAGACCCCATCGTACTCGAAACGTTAATGATGCGTGGGTCCTTGGACTTCTGTACCAGCGGGATGATGGCTTGTGTCAAGAGCATTGGGCCGTAGACGTTCGTTTCGAATGTCGCTCGCAGACTATCTCGGGATGGAGGGCCTTTCACGACAATACCCGCATTGTTGACAAGCACGTCGATGCGACCGAACTCAGAGGCGAGCTGTTGGGCAGCAGCCGTGATGGATTCGTCGTCGGATATGTCAAGTTGCACAAGGCTGAGGGTGCCTTGGGGCTTACGGGTTTGTATCTCTTTGATGGCGGTCTCGCCTTTGGACATGGTGCGTACGCCCATGATGATGTGGTTGTTCGGTGAAGCGGCCGCTAAAGCATAGCTTGAATCAAAGCCAATGCCATTGTTCGCGCCTAGAGAATGTTGAGAGATGTGAAGAATGTAAGAATATTAATCTGACCTGTGATGAGAATAATTCGCTTATCTGATGCCATGTTGATGTGTATTTGATGTTGGCGACCGAAATTGAAGACTGATGCTGATGCTGACGTTGATCCCAGTACTGGCGGGTCCTACGCACATATATACTTCCTTCCTCGAACAGGTTCCCTAGGTTCTGTCCTCGATTGTGTTGCAGCTGGCTGTGTCATGGACGCCTGAGTACCATTCTGCGTCTTTCCGGACGAGTGAGCGTCGTGTAATTGTGCGGACTTTGCCGACTAAGTCCGAAACATAATGCCAAGTGTGGAGAGAGCGGGAAAATAGCTTTTTAAGGTTTTAGTGAACCCAGAAAGAGCACCGCGAAAGCCAGGGAATGGTGCATTTAAAATCGAAGTGGTACAGATTGATGCTAGTGGGGTGCGCTGAATGGAGGGGCTGCTTGGACAGGAGAGAATGGACATAGCGGAGTTGAAAATCTCACATATCCGGAGCCAAGAGAAAGGCCCCCAGGCGGTTGTCTTGGCCTCGGTATGCCTAGTGAGGACGAAGAAGGATCCTACAGATGAATGACAATCTTCCACCCATTCTCTTCCAGTTTCTCCTCCTTATCTGCATGGTGAATGGGCTCGAAATAGGGATGCCTCCGTAGACGAAATTGCTGTACGGAAAACTTTAAATAAAGTAAAAACTACATAAAGTTGTTATATAATATATATAACATCTATAAAACTTATATTATTAGCTTATAGAATAAATCTAAGCAAATAATAAAAAATAGTAAAGAAAGTAAATGTAAAAGAAATACTAAAACTAGAGTTTAGTATTAGAGACTAAGTATACCTTAGTACTAAAAATCTACAGTATAGCAAAGAACTAGGCGCTAAGCTATGTAAGAAAAGAATTAGACTAGTAAAATATAGTCTTAATCTACCTTAGTTCTTAAAAATCTACCTTATTATACACATACACTTGCTAGAACTAGCACTATAAAGCGCACTAATTCTTAAAGATCTAGATAAGATTGTAGAAGAAAAAGACTATAAAGCAGAAGCTATTGTCGCAACCGCTGATTAGAGAGCAATAAGAAGCAAGTCTATTAACTATAAGAGGCTTATAGGGAGCCTGCCTATGTAGTGGGAGCTTAGGCGCCAAGTGTGTCAGGTTGCTCGTCCGAAACACAGGCGCGACACCAGGACCATGTGCTCTCTTACGCGACAGCTATTATAAAAAAAACCTAAAAAACCTAAAAAAGTACCTACTATTAGATAATATGTTTGCAGTTACAAAGCTCTCTATGCTCTAGCCACCTACACGTCTTTAACCTACTGCTTAGCTACGCCACCTGCTGCAGCCTAGAGCTATTAGTAGCCTTAAGTTACATGATAGATTCATCTAGTACTATATAAACTTGTAGTTACTCTTCTTTAGTAATAAAATCTAGTTTCTTATGCCTCTAGTGCTTTGCATAGCTTTATGTAATATATAGAAACTTAAAAAGAACTTAAAAAGGCTTTAAAGGTATTAAAGAATTAAAATTAAAAGTTTTAAGTAATATAGTAAAATAATTCTAGAAAGAACTTAAAGGCTGCATGCGCACTGCTAGTAGTATTATAATACAAGGATGTGTAGAAGAAAGTTTGTTAGATAAGCCTTCTTTTTGTTACGGTCTATGGTTGGACCAACGTAACTCCACCTGTGGTGCTCTACAATTTAGCTAGGATGGGATAGGGCTTGCTTATAGACTAATTAGAGGATACAGAAGCAGCGCAACTGCCTGCAGTTATAGAAGAATGCGTTATCTAATAGAAAGGCAGGCCACAAGTCTAACAAGTCTAAGAGAGTTTATAAAGCCGCGCTTAGTAGGCTTACATAAACTTATTCTACTTATTTTTAGCACTCTAACATGTATATAGTTCTAACCTTAAATAACCTTTAGCAGGTGTGTTTAATATTTAGTTTATTTTTTATATAAACTAAGTAGTATTCTAGCTTTTTAAAAAGCTGCAATACTATTTATATATCTACACTATATATACCTCTAACTCTGTCTAACAAGACTGTTTAACCTAGCTACTATACTGCTGCCTAAGGGTAAACTATAATCTAGTCACTCTACCTCCCTTTATTAGCCTAGTAGCCTTTACATAGAACTGTACACCCTACTGTTAGCCCCTACTACCTATCTTACTCTACTAGGAACATTATTAACTTAAGTGCTTTTATAAAGTAAAAATTATAACATTAAACACTACTTTTTTTAAAAAGTATAACTACTTAACATAATCTAGATACTAATATAGCTTATGTAGCTTTATTAAAATTTATAAAAGTTTCTACTTAAAGTAAAGCTATTTTAGTAAAATAGATTAACATAATCTAAGACAACATTAAAAAACTTTAGTAGATTAGTAATAAAATAAATAAACTAGTAAATTTTTTAAAAAAAGTTAAAAACTTTTACTAAAAAGTAGTAAAATTTAATAATTTTTTATTACTTATAAACTTTTAATAAGCTACTAGCTCTACGCATTAGATACATGCACTTTAAGTAAAGCTAGCTAAACTCTAGAACATTTTAACTAAAAAAATAAGTATTATAGCTAAAAAGACTTTAAGAGTAGCCTTTTTAAAGCTTTTTAAAGAATTACTAAAAAACTTTTGCTTTTTTTTTACTAAATGCTACTTTTATATATAATATAACAAAGAAGTATTTTAAACTAATATAAAAATAATATTCTAGATAAGATTACACTTAAAAAGCCTTTTTATAATTTAGTTTTAGCTATATATAGATAATTAAATAGACTTTAAAGCTAATAGCATAACACTTACTTTTAAAATAAAAAAAGTATTTAGTAGTATTAAAGCTTTTAAAGACACTCTAATAGCTATTTATAAAACTATAAATAAATAAAAAATTATAGCTAATAAGTTAGATACTTTAAAATAAATAAAAAGCATAGCCTAGAACTATGCAGCGCGCTTTAGAGAACAGCTAGCTATTTATAGCTAGACTAATTAGAAAGCTTTTTACTAGATGTTTTATAACAGGCTAAGCAACATTATTAAAAATAAATTTATATATAATAATAAACTAACTACTTTTAAAAGCTTTATTATATAAGTAACAACCTATAATAATAGACATAAAAAGTGTAAAAAAAAGAAGTAGTAAAAAAAAACTTCTTAAAAACTAAAGTTTATTTTTTTAAAAAAGAAGTCTTTTTAGTATAATAAAAAGCTAATAGACCTTAGTTACATAAAGCATATGTAAAGCCTCTTTTTAATAAAAAAACTAAGTTTTAGAATGTAATAGACTGCCTTTAACTAAAGAATAATAAAAGTAGTTAAAGAATAAGGCTTACTTAAACTATAAAAAAGTAGAACATTTCTGCTAAAATTACCTAGACTTCTAAAAAAAGAAGAATAAAAATACTACTATAATAGTAAAAGCTATTACTGCTAAATATAGCCTTATAGATAAAAAAATATTAAAAAGATTAAATAATAAACTTTACTAGTAATATAAAAAAAACCATTCTTTAAAAAACTACTTTAAAGTGTATTAAAAAGTAGCTATCTAAAACTGTTTGCAGTTACAAAGCTCTCTATGCGCTAGCCACCAACACTCCTTTAGCGTACTGCTGCCTAGCAATGCCACCTGCTGCAGCCTAGAGCTATTAGTGGCCTTAAGTCACATAATAGGTTTATCTAGTACTATATAAACCTGTAGTTGCCCTTCTTTAGCAATAGAATGCAGTTCCTCATGTCTCTAGTGCCTTACATAGCTTTATAAAAACTTTAGTAGCTTAAATAAAGTGTTACAAGATCTTATAATTTTTAAAAAATATAAAAAAAGACTTAAATCTAAGAATATATTATAAATATTAAAAAAAAAAAAAATTCTTTTTATAATTAAACTTTTAGCACTTTAGTAAAAAAGCTCTCTAAACAGTTCTAGAAGTGTAAATGTTAGAAGTGTAGTCTATAACATAACTATCTTAATAAATGCATAGTTATGCTTTATTAGATAAATATTAGTAATAACTATTTTACATTTAACATAGTAAGATAAATAGCTAGAGTTAAATACAACATTATAAATAAAAAAAATAATAGTAGTTTTTTACTAAGATCTAAGATTAAAAACTAGAAGAACTAAGTAGACTTACTAGATTTAAAGTCTCTAAGCTAGTTCTTAGAAAACTTAAGACACTGCTTCTAAGCCTAGTAATTAGTAGAAAGGCTTTTATTATATAATAAAATTATAGATAGTGTATACTTTATAGAAGCAACTCCTACAGCACTAACAACTGCTAGTAGAAGGGACACCTTGTACAGGTAGTATAAACACAAGAATACTCTTAGTAGACTTAAAAAGGCCCTTTTAACACCTTACATAGACTTAACAACTGTCTATACTTGTTAGATTTAAGCACTGTTTCTAGGCTTCCTAAGATGAATGATGGGTTTAGATATGATGTATGGGATGATTAATTAATTGTATTAATTGTGTTTTGTTTATTAATCCTTTTTCTGCTCTACTTGTGTTGCTCGGCTTTTTGTTCTGCCAATCTGAGTCCCTCGCGCACTAGCCCTATGCGCGACCAGCTTGCAACATGCTGCAAAATGCTGCAAAATGCTGCAAAATGCTGCAATTTGCAGCAACATACTGTTCAAGCTTATTGCTTGTACTATGTAGCAGCTTTTGTCAAACGTTCCTCCTGTCTTGACAGTAGGTGCGCATATCTGACACACCCTCTTAGCTTAGACATGCTTCAAGCTAGTTCCTGATTGCGCAACCTTAGTATGCTTCTAGGGCTTCCATTCTTGCTTTAATCTCTTCTATATACGCTTCCTAACTAACTATCCTCTCCCTAACATTAACTAGCTAAATTTGCTAAAGAAAGCTTAGCTATTTGCTAGCTAGAAGCGCTTTAGTAAGTCTGTCCACAAGCATTTTGCTAGAGGGGACATAGACAACCTTAATTGTTTGTTAAGAGACTTCCTATTAGAGCTAGTAGTTATAGATGTTAACATGTTAGAGCTTAGTTTAAAGTTAAGATATCTTTTTGTTTACTAGTTAAATTATCTGCTTGTTGTTACACTAGATTATAATAGTTAAATTAGGCATCTTAACTTATAGTTTATTAAAAAGCATTCTTGTAAACATAGCTTCTTTAGCAACTTAGAATAGTGTAAGTAATTCTGCTTTTATTGTTAACATTATTACTATATCTTGTTTATTTACTTACTATGTAATCTATCTGCTAAATAGTTAAATAACATAGCTCTAAGAGCTCTTTTTATTTAGTGTATTATCTATAAATAACATATTGCTTGCTACTATAAAGTAGTCTTCTCCTTTTAATTAGAGTGCGTACGTCTGTGTCGCATGTAGGTACAGGATAA